TTTCTTTCTTTCTTTTTGGTCCTCCATATCAAATTTCTTCGATTTTAGTGCTTCAACTTTTTCTCAAATGCTTATTAGTCCCCTAACTTCCATCAATTGTCCGATGTATCCTTCTTTCTTTTCCAATTGCATAGAAACATGTCCAAATTGAAATAAGGTAAAAATAATTTAAGTTAAGTAAAATGCAATAATAAAACGGCACAAAAACTTTGTAATATGGCCCCAAATAAGTGCACAAAAATGCACTTATCAACATGAGCTGTCCTCGAGCAAACTTTCTTCTTGTTGTTGGATCAACCTGATTACCTGATGCAGCTTGCTGACTTGAAAGCTTTCATATCAAAGCATTCTGATGCCAACGAGTTTGTTTGGAAATCTGCTCCTCTGGAACTTCGAATTTAAGGAGAAGCTATGAAAAACAGTGAAAGCACAATAAATACCGTGAAAACATTTAAATTATTTAAAACACATTAGCTTTATGTTACATAGTATATATACATAAAGTTCTAATTAATGATTGCCCAATATCTCAGAATTGCAGGGCAGCGTTCTAACTTGCCACAAGATTCACTACAGAAGGGGAAAAATGAAGTGAAATGAGACACCATCTTCGTGGTTTCAAGCTTGCCCATGAATTTGTATCAATACGTCCTTGTACACCTTGATAAAACATAATGAATATGTGAGTTTCTCAGTGACTAGGAATATGCATATAAACACAATTTCAAAATTTAAGATTCCAGCACCCCATGTAAAGGACATTAAAGTGAAAGGTTTAAGAAAATGAATTTGATTACAAAAATTATTTGATACCAGTGGTTTAACGACTTAAAAATAGGGTCCTCCCTTGTGAGACTTTTTATTTATCAGAAATCAAGACAGTTCATTGCTGTCATAATGGTGATTAGACAGCACTGTTGGGTTTTTGATTCCCAATAAATCCGGGCGATGATTTAAAACAGTTGTCAGATTATTTATCGACACCNGTCAGACTATTTATCGACACCATAGACTTTGCTCGACTCGAAAACTACCTATACTTTTTGATGGCCCATGTTTGGGTGGGATGGTAATAGGTACCCAAATTCCTACAAGCACTATGGATAATTTAAGAACTTCCACTGAGTTATTTCTTCCCAACAGATCACTGTGCCTAACGGTAATTTAATTTTGGGTAAATGGGAATTGTATTCATTCTCGAGAACTAATGAAATCACCTTAATTTTTAGTGTTGGCCATGTCTATCCATCAGAAGTCATTTTTCTAAGTACTCCTTGAAATGCAAAGTAACTGCAATACTATCAAACTCTTGATTTAGAACTTCATTGGCTGTTCTCATTTGAAGCAATAAAAGGTACATATAGATGAAGGAAAAAAAATGAGATTAGCAAAATACAAATACCTACATGTATATATTTAAACAGATCAAAATACCTAAAGAAAGTACTGATAGAATTAGATGTACAGAATCACAAATTTTGAACGTGTCTACGAAGTATAAAATCTCGACCAACATTTTCTACATCTCAATCAAGACCTTTTTCTGTTCTCATGAAATACAAATGCAATTCATCCAGGAGGGATTTTATAATGCACTTTCAGAATTTGTACAATCTTTTTGAAGTTAACAGCAATAAAAACTGTAGTGATTCACTAAATTATACTACCAAATCAACAGAATGCTGAATAGAAGCATTACAGGTCACACATATATACAGCAATATAGACATCCCACTGGCCCTTATATTGATGCTTTTCAACTTCCCCTTTTTTGATTGATTTTCCTTTTGATCTAGTTAAAACATTAAGAAAAGCATGGTACCAAGAAATCAACTTTCAAACAATCAAAATACACTTCAGATGCCATTACAAATCATATTGAGCTCAGAAATTCCAAATTAACAGTCTGATTATCCACATAGTTTAACTGCAGAGTAGAAGGGCATGGAATATGCAAGTCTCACCCACAGAAGATCATCGTGAAAATAGTGCACTTAATATTCTATCTGGGGGTAACAAAGGTTATGAGCTAAAATTTTAAACCTGGAGAAGGAAAAGGCTGAGCTACATCACTGTTCTCCACCTCGTGTTTCTTTTCGTCTTCGACTTCGTCATCATCATAATTTTCATCATCATACATAAAAGCTGCATTCTCCAAAGTAGAAAAATATTTTTTTCCGCAAGACAGTCTTCCCCAGTAGCAGCTTGGACTTCTGGTCCTTCATACTGCTCGTCAATGTCTTCATAATTAACAGCATCTTCTGCCTTCTCGTCATAATCTAGTTTGCGCTGAAGGTAGAGAATAATGATAATCCAAGAATAACTAATCAAGAGGGGGTGAATTTGTTTTTAAAACTTTTTCAAAAAATTTATCTAAATTCAAGCAAG